ACTATTCCTGACATTAAATACTATTGAACTCATTGTGAGACGTGGAGAGATAATTGAGCCATATTGCAAGGACACTGGAATAGTGATGAACTTGTCGAGATAACCTAATGTCTTCACTCTAACCATGCGCGTCGGCGTGGTTTGCTAATGGTTATAACAAACAATACGACTGAATATATCCTCACTTTTTTACTTTCGGCTATGCTTGGTCGGCACATCTGATACTGGAAAATCTGATTTCACTCTAATCTATAGTCATTACTAATACTTCTACTTCTTTGTATTATATTTCTGTTGTAATATATCTTTGATTTATTCCACTTACCTGTGTTCGTGTTATTCTTTCATTGGTTCTAACCTTGAACCATCACCGTGGTACAAGGAACTTGGACCATAACAAATATCGAAATATTTTTTTTACAATTATACTTCAATTTGTAAGTAAAAATTGGTCGGGTTTATACATAACTCTGGCTTATATTTGAAACTATAGGTAAACATAAGTTGGGCTGATACTTTTCCCACCGGACAGAACAATACCCTGTCCGGAGGCAAAAGATGCCGGTAGCTTAAGGGAAGTACCGCCTTAGCCATTCTAAATTGCGTTATCTCGCCTGGTTGGCGGGTGATGAGGGCATGTTATCGTACGTGCTTTCACACGTTGTATGTAAGAAAATGAAACTTGAAAAGATCCAACTCAATACATAAGTCGCTTGGCATGTGAGAGAGGAGGTTCAGTATGACAGTCCAAATAGCAGTGAAAAAAACACTTGAAAATGAAATCGTACGTGAAACTCGTGAGGGACCTTGTTACAGAAAGTTAGAAGGTTAGAGAGGGGGAAGATTATCTTGAATAAGTTGGAAAATGACCCTGGAATAATATATATATATATGTGAAAAGTGTATATAAATATAAATAAATATATATATGTATAATTATTTATATATTATATGCGCGGTACTTATTAGAAAGCGCTCAATATCAGAGATAGAGCTAACATATTTGGTTGGATAGATGTGAGTTTGTGACCCTGGGTTTCACGCTTTAGCGATCGTCAGACAAACTGATTAATGTTTTAAAAAATTTGGGTTTATGTAGATTGCGTGTATTGGTGTTATTGTGGAAGTGGTGGGGGAAATTTCGTCGTTTTGTCATTCATCGTACTAACGCAAACATCGATGTATGCAGACACATATACATACTTGGTCGTCCGTCGGGACTCATACATATATAAACATATGTAGACAGTTTCGGCTATGACACATGTATGTATACGGGTGGTGTTATGTCTATACATACGCATTTGTATGTTGAAATGTTGAAATTTAAACATTGGAAGTGTGGCGGAAATGTCTCGTTAATGTCTCGTGAATGTATCCATGTCATATTATGAAAATTTTTTTTTTTTTTTTTTCCGTTGAAAAATATTTCCTCGCATGTATGTATATACGTGTGGTGGGGTTTGTGTAAAATTATGATAGGTAAAAATTATTATTATAATTATTTATATTTATTTTTAAATTTTTGAAAAAATGGGGGTTTATTTGTTATATTTAAAGCTGGTTATTTGTTTGTTTTTGGTGACTGTGTATATGTAACAGGTAAAAATTTGTAATCCTTATTGTTTAATTTATATGGTGATGTTTAATTTAATAACGGGTCTATATGATATGATGTGATAGTAATGTTTCAAGGGATTGGAGACAATGCTATTTAGCTAATAGTTATTGTAAATTGGAAGAAATAGCAAATTGGTAGAAATGATTAGTAACGGTGGTGGGAGAATGATAAAACCATGAATGTAGTTATAGTGGTGGTAGCTTGAACTAAAAAGTGGTTGTTGGTGTTTTATTTTATTTTTGTTTTATTTTGTTATATGTATTAATTTATTTTGGTATAAATCCTGATAATAGGTATTCTGTGTGAAATTATGGTAGTTGAAGATTGCTATAATTTTTAATTTTTAATTACAAAATTATTATTGTTATTATATTAAAGCTGCCTGGTAATAGGTGTTTGTTCTCATGGTTACATATGGAAATTATATCTGATCATATTGTTTTAAGGTATTAATTATGCTGGGGGAGTAATAAAGATTGTAGTGGATTATATGTTAATAGTGGGTGTGATGTGTAAGTGATGGTGCTGTGTGTAGGTGGTAATGATAATATTGATAGTTAATAGATATTATAAAGTGGTAAAAGTGGTTACTAATGGTGGTGCAATTATAATAATGATAGGTGCAATTATTTTGATGGTATCTTGAAATTAAATTGTGATTGTTGGTGGTTTGTCTGTTTTATCCGTTTGGTATGAATTCGGATAATAGATACTTGTTCTCATGCCTACATTTGGAGATTATCTCTGATTTTTTGTTTAGCAAGTTCTTTTGCGGTTTGTGTGATATTATTGCTATTTTTTCGTGTAGGCAAAGTAGGCATTTTTTCGTAATGTTGTTGTAGGCAGGGACTTTTTTCAATATTTCCCAACTTATTGTAAGTGTGATGTTTTTGTCTTTTTGCTGCCATATGTATGTAGAAAGTGTTGTGCTGTTCGAATATTTCCTGTTGTTGAATGAAAGGTTGTGATTGTTATTCCTCATCTTGAATGGACCTTCGGTGGCACCGATGTAGTGCATAGTGTTGTTGTTTGTACTTACCTTGGCCTTGTATATTGTGTTCGTAATTTGGCAATTTCCCTGGAGTGGACATGTTGTTCTGTTTCTGCAGTTGCATATTGGATCCTTGGTTACATTTTTGTAGGTTGTCATTTTTTTGTTGTGGTTTTTGATTATTTCTGTTATGTTTTTTGTACAGCTGTAACTGATCTTTACGTTATTTTTGTTAAATATTTTTGATAATTTGTTTTCTTCAGTGAAGTGTTTTTCTATTAAGTTTAGGAATATTTTGCCTATGTTCGTTTTAACAGTTTTGTTATATGGTGGGTTAAACCAGATAATGTTTCTCTTTCTGTTTCTGCGTTTTGGCTGTGGAGGTATATATTGTAGTTGTTGTGTGTAACCACTTGCTTTTAGTGCTTCGTTGTATGGTGCTATTTTGCTATTGAAAATTTGCATGTTAGATGAGTTCTCAGATAGTCTGCGGCTGATTGATTTTGGTATTTGTTTGATGATAGAGGGTGGATGGTTGGAGGATGTGTGTACGTAAGTTGGTGTGTCATTTTCTTTTTTGTCTGAGATGAGGTATTATGATTACTTGCATTATTTACATTATTCGGACTGTTATCCTCATCTTCATTGCCATATTCACAACATTTCGGCCGTTGTACGCTCCGGCCTTTATGTCTATATCTCTCTATATCTCTGTCTATATCTCTGAGAGGAGGTATTATGATTACTTGCATTATTTACATTATTCGGACTGTTATTTTTTTCTTCATTGCCATATTCACAACGTTTCGGCCGTTGTACGCTCCGGCCTTTATGTCTATGTCTCTCGATATCTCTGTCTATATATCTGAAATGAGGTATCATGATTACTTGCATTATTTACATTATTCGGACTGTTATCCTCATCTTCATTGCCATATTCACAACGTTTCGGCCGTTGTACACTCCGGCCTTTATGTCTATGTCTCTCGATATCTCTGTCTATATATCTGAAATGAGGTATCATGATTACTTGCATTATTTACATTATTCGGACTGTTATCCTCATCTTCATTGCCATATTCACAACGTTTCGGCCGTTGTACGCTCCGGCCTTCTTCAGATGATTGGATCTCTGAGATGAGGTATTATGCTTACTTTCATTATTTACATTATTCGGACTGTTATCCTCATCTTCACTGTCATATTCACAACGTTTCACGCCTTCAGGTGATTGTAATTACGAACGAACCCTTTACTTCGTCCACTGGGAATTGTTCTTGTTTCACGTACCATACCTCTTCCGGATGTCTTTGTTATTTCCCTTTAACTCAAATCTCCAAGTTTTGGTTCACCACTGCCGTGGCCTGGTATTGAACACACAACTCTTCTCACTGGATCTAACCAACGTCTGAATCTAACCATTGGGCCATGTTCTTTTATTGTCTTTCTTCTCAATTCTACTTACTAACATCTTCTCATTTTCTTTCACTCCCCGTAAACCCCTATGCGGCTTAGTGGCATTATTACCTTACTTGAGATGAAATGATTAACAAAAAAGAGAAGAAAAACAATCTTGTCTTCTTGGCGATCACCTAAAATCCATACCTGTACGTCTGTGCTCGACTGATTGACCCTTGAGGAACAAATGACCGGCAAATTGGGATGCATAATTGGAGAAGAGAAAAGAAAGAAGGCAACATAAGAATTTTAAGGCGAAGAACGTATTGATAGAGAGTGGAAAGACAAGATGAAAGAGCTGCAGGCAAATATGAGAAGAAGAGAAACGAAGAAGAAAAATTAAAAGGAGAGAGAAAGAAGAAGAGTAGGAAGTAGATTGGAAAAACGACGAAACAACGGAAATGGGGGATGGACTTTGAAAGGGAAAGAAGAAAAATCGAAAAATATAAAAGAAGAAAAGCAATAAGAAAACTAAAACCCCAAATTTAATAAAAGTAAAGAAAAGGGTTGAGATCGATCTCAGTGCTGAACAAGAGTCAAAAAATATGCTAATCGATTAAAATGATATTTATTAATGATTTTATTCTACCAAAAATACTCAATCATAACCCAAGATGTTCGCATCTTTCAAAGTTAGAATCGACAAAATAGACAAAAGTGCTACACAAGAAATAATAAAAGCATTTTGATTAGGACGATAGTGGATAGACGATTATGTTTTATGTTCTGACTTTAGAACTAGCTTCTATGAATCACAATACATAATAAAGTAGGTATACTAATTGAAAAAAAAGAAGAAGCTTTTAATCATGCGTAAAGGGAGATAACCCTAAAGTGATCATTTTCGCTACGCATGCGCAGTTAAACATATGTTGACGCTTTCCTTTTGCGAATTGTATTCGATAAAAGTATTATGAGATTTAAAAAAAGATGCTTTTTTTTCTTTCTTCAAGGTTTTTCTCTCTTCTTATTTTCGATATTTTTCTTGGTGACAGACTTTGCTCTGGAAATTCGGTTATTTTTCGATTTAGACGTAAAAACCATTCTTTGATTTTCTCGTCTTTTGATGGAAACATAGTATCTGGGTTAACATTTTTTTTATCAATTATTCGCAATTTGCTTCGTGATTCGTTTTATAGCCTAGATTTTGTTTTTACTATTTTTGGTTTCATTATTTAATTTCGTTGTGTCCTTTTCTCAATTTACCATTTGATATTTTTTGTCTACTTTTGCATCTTTCATGCAACTCGTTCATTTTTCTTTTATTCTTTCGTCTGTCCATTTCATCTATGTTTTTTTTTTTACTTTTTTTGTTACGTATTTTCGTATTTAGTACTTTCTTTTTCTTTTATACTTTTTGTTTTCTTTAGTTGCTGTGTTCATTAATTCCTTCTTTCTTTTTAGTTTTCTTCAGTCACTTCTTTCTTGCTTTTTTTCTTTATTTATTTCGTTCGTTCGCTTGTTTGTTCACGTATTTTTTTTCTTTTCTTTTATTCCAGTTCTTTCTTCCGTCAATTCTTTCGTTCTTTAATTTTAGTTTTCTTCAGCCACTTCTTTCTTTTTTTCTTTCTTTCTTTCTTTCATTCATTTTTTTCCTTTGTTCGTTCGTTCATTTCTTTTTCCTTTTTATTTCCATCCAGTTCTTTCTTTCTTTCTTTCTTTCTGTCTTTCTTTCCATTTAGTATGTTAATTCCTTCGTGCTTTCCTTTTTCGTTCTCTTTAGTATCTTCATTCATTCATTTTGGTGGGTTTGTTAATCCTTTTCTACTTTCAGGTTTAGTTTTCTCCAATCACTTCTTTCTTTCATTTTTTAAAATCTTTCTTTCACTCATTCGTTCATCTTTCTTTCTTTCTTTCTTTCTTTCTTTGTTTTCTAATCCTTTACATGCTGGTATTTTGTCATCGGACGTAACGTTAACAACGCACTTTCCACGGATAAAATCATGGTGATGGCAGATTCACAATGCAAGCAGAAAGGGTCAACTGTTAGTATTAAGAAGATGAAAAAAATGGTGGCGAGCAAAATAGACAGCTCAAGATACATACTTACATCCCAGAAACATAAAAATTAAACACATTCTAAAATTAAACCTTATGGGCAATATAATAGCAGATCATCATCTGTTGAAAGCGTGACACTGAAATTAAAAGACACATAACAAATGCAAAATTATTCACGATATCAAATGGGATTAAAGGCGTGGCCACGAAGAGATAAAAAAATATTTTCTTTACCAACGCGTTTCGTCACCTGAAGCTGTGTGTATCTGTAAAATTTCAGGTATAACTAAAATTATATCGAGAATTTAAAATATGAGTATCCAGGAATAATTTTAAAGTAATATATATATAGAGATAGATAAATAGATGAATATGAACAGAATGAGAGATGATAGATTCAGTCACCATTGTGAGGGATTAATTGAAACGAAAATTTTTAATTCCATTATTAGCCATATTTTGCAAAAATTTAGCCCATTTGAACCCCTGAAAACGGGTTCAGGGTCATTTTACTTCCCGAAGGATATCCATTCCACGAAGTCGGGTTCTTTGCAGATAGGAAGAGATTCTGAACCGAAGATTTAGTTCAGAGTTGAACGACTGACAGAATAGAGAGATAGATACACAGATTCACCATTTTTTAATTGAAACGAAAATGAATAATTCCATAGTACTTCTTATTATTTATATTCCGTCCATTTTTCCAAGGCGTTCTGAACCAGATTGCGCATGTCAGATTCTCGTATATCCATTTAAATCGAAGTCGTTCTTTTCAGATTGACCACAGATTCTCGATTGGATTTAAATCAGGAGACTTTTCGTGCAGCGTTACAATTTTCGTAATATCATATAATGTCAATATCAATCGGAAAGGGGCAATTGAAATTGTGGGGACACAAAAGAGAGGTTTGGAGAATTTAACAGGAACAGGGACACATCGAAGGCAACATAAAAAGCAGCAAGTAAGATATTTGACAAGTGGTGGAGTAATGGATAGTGGCTTGGATTAAGGAATCGGGTAGCCGAGTAGGAAAACTAGTCAGATCCATCACATTTAATTAAGTGTTAATACCCTTGTGGAAAGGTATGGATCCTACTCTTCTTCCCGCTAGCTATGGGTAAATAGCAGGGCAGACCGGATTCTATAAACTTGGATGGCAACTGGTCTACCGCAGAAAAAATGGCAGCCTATTGTGGGAAAAATCTGCATCGTCAGTCATGTAACGAAAGATACATGATCGCCTAAGCGTGTATCACGCATGGAACATAAATGACTTATTAGGAAATGGATATTATGAAGACAAACTGCCGTTGTAAAGGTAAATAGAAATTTGGGAACACGAAAAGATTGTAGAAAGTGACACAAGTGTTTTTTTTTATCTGTTATATATATATATATATATATATATATATATATATATATAGTAAAAAAAGGAAGAACAGTAAGATATGTAATCCGGTGTACTTAGGGATATTTTTATTTTTACAAAACAGTGCTCAATGTAAATTTACAGAGCATAAATATTATAAATTAACTGATTTAAAATATGGCTTCTCTGCTACACAGGAATTATCATGTTTCAAAAACAGAAAACAAAAACTTCAAATTCAATTATATTAAATTAAAAGCATTAGTTCTGTTTTATCTTTGCTTGAAGACGAAACAGAACTAATGCTTTTAATTTAATATTGAATTGAATTTTTGAAGTTTTTGAAACATTTTGTAACATGGTAATTATTTTTAAAAAAGCAATATATTTTTATATATATATATATATATATATATATATATATATATATATAGTACAGATAATAAATACGTTGGTATATAGTCCAATTGGATCCTAGTATTATAAAATATTAAAACTGATCCACAAAAAGAACTCAATGTATTTATTATGACAGAGCTAACACATAGTATTACACAACAAAATACAAAATTATCTCATATGGGGGGCTATATCTATTTCAACCGACGAAAACTACGTCAGTCTTATTCGACCCCGGTATACAGACTAAGTTCGTGTCGGAATTAGAAATTTAACTTTGACAGCCGTCGAAAAATTCAAACAGAATTAATCCATTTCGATGTTTCAGTCAGACGAAATTGTGGTTATATATATATATATATATATATATATATATATATATATATATATATTCACACCTTCCCAAGGATATTAGCAAGTAAATGAATGTAATGGATTCGACTGGAATCAAATAGCAAGACAGGCTCGATTCTATAGACTTGTATGGCAACTGGTCTAGGAGAAGGACAATTCAGAATTCAAAACCTGCGAAGGGTCGTTTGGGGACCCTATGCCACATAGTGCACCAAGTTTCTGTATTCAGCCCTTCAAAAAGTGTGGATGGTACTGCACAAGACCTTCACCACTATAATCAAATCTCATGTGCAAGTCTTTATTTTAGTTCATATTTTTATATATGAGGATGTCATTAGTTTATCAAGACTTTATGGTGGTCAAAATATGAGGAGGACACAAAGTGTCATAATATAAAGGAAATTTTACGTATCGTTCTACATCTTCAAAACAGGATGTGATGGATTTAACCATTTTCTTATGATTTTTCTGCATATTTTTTGTCGTGTATGTTGGCTTAGAGAAGTCATAAATCTTTCAGGAAAGATGAAATTGAGAAAATACCGTGGCCACACTCGTTAAAATGGAAAATCATCAGATGGACAATTTCCGAGAGTGTCGCCATCGAATCTTATGAAAATATGAATCTACGCACCATTTTTTTTTGTTTTTTTTTTGAGTGTGTGTAGACTTCCCAGCATTCACTATCATATAAGGGACGTGATATCACATAACAGTTCAGCACTCTTTTCCTATCTCTTAATACTTTGCTTAACTTTTGGAAAGCATCTTATTTCAATGCGCCTTCGGATTTCGCCTTCGAACTTTTCACCTCAGATGAAACACTTTCCAGACGAGTATGCTTTTATACTTATTTGATTTTGTAATCATCAATTCGAAGTTCAGATCTTGGGATAATCCTCTTTCTGACAATCATCCGTTCTGTCTGTTCACAATTAATATTTACCGTGTACACTATACATAGGAAGTTTTGAACAGGTTAAAAAAATGATGCATTTTCGGTGACCGCTCGCGCGATATACGCAGTTAAATTTTTTCTGGAGAGGTAAAAATTGATGCTCAAAATTCAGCGGTCGAATATACACGAAGTCGACTTATACACGAGTATATACGGCATACCTTTATTCTCACTTTCCTTATTTACCCTTTCTTGGGCTTTACCGTTCGGTTACGAAGTGCGTCAAAGTATAGTGAGGGGCAGCAGAACTTTAACGCACTCCTGAGCCGGTCTCTCCTTCAAAACGTGGGGGGGACACACAGGTTTAATTTCTGTTGGAGAGCATATTCCATCTGTATAAATAAATGAGAATGTCTGTGTGTCACACCATTTCAAATTTACTCTTAGAGACCGTAGCCTAACATATCATACCATTTTGGAATCAGGTCGACTCCTTCAGAAAATTAAAAAAACATTCCGACCCGGACCCGGACACGCAATCTTGAAATTTTTGGATTCCGACGTTTTCATTGCTTCGATTGTTTTCGGATTTGTCATCTTGGCTTTTACTGATAAAAGCAATTAAAGGGACACAACTCTCCAACTTTCAATAGCTGATATTCAAATGAAAAAATATACTATTCTCAAATATATTACACTGTTTCAAAATAATATTTTCCGTGTTTTCAACTTTACTCCTGGAGGCCGTAGCCCAACATTTCATACCATTTTGGAATCAGACCGAATCCGTGAGCAAATTTAAAACATTTCGGAAGCGATCGGGACCCGCAATCCTGAAATTTTGGATTTCCAAGTTTTCATTACTGCGATTGTTTCCAACGATTTTTTACGTGATTTTTTGCGAAGAATTATGATAACAATTTTTATAACTTGGAATTAAATTTTGGGAATAATAGAAATCAACTGCGAAATACAGCGAAAGTTACCCATGAAATAATTGTTTGTACGGAAAGTAAGGACCTACGTACATCAAAATGTCTTTAAATTACGTTGTTGGCAGAAGAATTATCGTTGAACTTTTAAAAGGTAAGCTTAAATATTAATGCAATATTTAAATGCATACGGCAGCAGTATGCCTCGCAAAAAGAAATCTCCGCCAACAGAGGACCAGATTGCAAACAAAAGAGCCAATATTACGATGAAGAAAGTCCCATGCATATGAAAACCAACATTAAACATCAGCCAGTAGAGCTTCCAATGCTGAGAACATGCAAAGACTTAGGGGATCTCAAACTCCTAAACAAGCCGAAAGCCCAATCAAGTATATATATATATATATATATATATATATATATATATATATATATATATATATATATATATATATATACAGATAGATAGATAGATAGATAGATAGATTGAGGCAGTCAGTCAGACAGATAGACGGGTAGACAGACAGAAATTGTTCCTATTTACATTATTCGGACTATTGCCCTCATCTTTGTCGCCATGTTTATCACAATGTTTCGGCCGTTGTACGCTCCGGTCTTCTTCAGGTGGTTGGAATGTCGAACTGAACCCTTTATTTCGTTTACTGGGGTAGACTGTTCTAGTTCCACGTGCCATGTCTAATGGATGTCAGTTATCTCCTGTTAATTCCCCTCTCCAAGTTCTCCACTGCCTTAACCAGGTATTGAACTCACACACTTTTGGGTCCTGTCACTGGATCTAACTAAAACGATCTGCCGTCGAACTGTTCACAGTGGATAAAGGCGTTAGTTAGATATCGTAAGGCATATAACTGACATCCATTTACACCTAAATGGAACTATTCGGGAAATCTTTATTACAAACTAAGCGCGGGGCTTGAACTGTAAATTAACCTCGAGTTGAAATTAGTTCTGTCACTCTTACTTCGCTTTTT